TGCTCAGAAGGTTTAAGTCATTTTTTAAAATGTTTATTTATTTATTCATGAGAGAGAGAGTGTGTGTGCGCATGAGCGGGGTAAGGGCAGAGAGAGAGGGTGAGAGAGAATACCAAGAAGGATCCATGCTGTCAATGCAGAGCCGGACTGGGAGCTCGATCTCATGAACAGTGAGATCATGACCTGAGCTGAAATCAAGAGTCATCCACTTAACCGACTGAGCCACCCACGTGTCCCTGAGTTATTTTGATAGAAATGGAATCTTGATTCCAATCCAGGGGCACAGCTTCCAATACAGGGTTTCCAAAGACAACATTTCGCATTTTCCTAACTTTGTAGTTTTCCAGCGACAGGCCCCTGGGTTCACTTCACAATCCAGACCTGATCTTGACACAGCTCAGGCTTGGTTTGAACCTATCAAATCACTGCATCCAACAAATTATGCTTAAACTCCACCCTTTCCCAAACCGTATAATCACTATCTGTATCTTTGTTCGGGGCAATGTCCATGGTTCTCTGGTGTGTGTTCCTCTCTCTTGTTGCAAGGAGTCAATAAATCTGTTGAAATACAGGCTTGTTTGTCCCTGGTAATCTTAAACTGATTGAATCAGGACAACTTGCTGGAGGACTTCCATCAAAATCTAAAACTTGACTTGGCCTGTGGCTGTTTGACTCCTTTCTTTTTGACAGTAATTAGATAGCAGGACTTCTGAGCTTTGGGGGGGTTTTGACCAAATGATAATAGTATTATTACCCAGGAGAGAAGTACTGAGCATTCTGTGCTCCACAGAAGATAAAAAGGTGGAAGAGAATGAGTGTGGACAACACCGTACAAATTCCAGACTTCAGTATTAATAGGCATGAAATAGCTAATCACAAAGCTCTCATTTTATGAACGTGTCTATGGCATCAAAATATGAGTGCATCTATTCAGTCAACAGCGGCCATACTATTAAATATGAATTTATAAGGATTTCTTATGTTTTTGCATAGGTAGTAGGACAAAGAAATGCAGAGAATGGGGTTTTAATATCATTGATTCATTTTCATCTGTTTGGTGCTTAGAGTAAAAGGCATCAGGAAAAAGTAGCTCTGAATTCAGATTCCTAAAATCCTCAAACCCAAGACTTGCATGCCTACCTGACGTACCTTTTTCACGTTTACTTATTTATTTTGAGAGAGAAAGAGAGAGAGAGAGAGTCCCATGCAGACTCCGAGCTATTGAACCCACAGGGCTTGAACCCACGAACCGTGAGATCAGGACCTGAGCCAACACTGAGAGTCAGACACTTAACCAACTGAGCCACCCAGGAGCCCCACAATTTTTGATGGTGAGCTAGAAGCTTCCTGGCTCTCTTTTCCAACATTTGTTTCCAAATCGTTGTCACTGATATTCTCTAAATAAATGAATGAGTTTCCTTATTAATTGCAGTGTGTGTGACCCCCTAACATAGAATTCAAGGAACAAAGGTTTATAAAGTTGGCCAGTAATAGCATGCTGGCTGAAACAAGTTTCCTAAATGAGACCCCAAACTGGTTAATGTCCTACAAGGCAATAAACCCATAATCTTTGGTATTATCTTTTCTACCAAACAAATAATATGCATCTCTACTGGGCAAAAAATCTATAAATTAACATGTAACCTCACAAAGTCAGGCCCAAATTAATAGTAAATAATAAATCAGGACATGCCTTTCACCTTATTGCCTTATTGCCAAGTGTGGATAATTTTTCTTAATTGCCTGACTGACCTCAGTCTGCCACTCTGAGAGAATATTACAATAATTTGATTAACAACTTACAACTTATTTTTTTAATATGAAATTTATTGTCCAATTGGTTTCCAGACAACACCCAGTGCTCATCCCAACAGGTGCCCTCCTCAATGCCCATCACCCACTATCCCCTCCCTCCCACCCCCCATCAGCCCTCAGTTTGTTCTCAGTTTTTAAGAGTCTCTTATGTTTTGGCTCCCTCCCTCTCTAACCTTTCTTTTTTTTTTTTTTTCTTCGCCTCCCTCATGGTCTTCTGTTAAGTTTCTCAGGATCCATATAAGAGCGAAAACATATGGTATCTGTCTTTCTCTGCATGACTTATTTCACTTAACATAGCACTCTCCAGTTCCATCCACATTGCTGCAAAAAGGCCATATTTCATTCTTTCTCATTGCCAAGTAGTATTCCATTGTATATATAAACCACAACTTCTTTATTCATTCATCAGTTGATGGACATTTAGGCTCTTTCCATAATTTGGCTATTGTTGAAAGTGCTGCTCTAAACATTGGGGTACAAGTGCCCCTATGCATCCGTACTCCTGTATCCCTTGGGTAAATTCCTAGCAGTGCTATTGCTGGGTCATAGGGTAGGTCTATTTTTAATTTTTTGAGGAACCTCTACACTGTTTTCCAGAGTGGCTGCACCAGTTTGCATTCCCACCAAGAGTGCAAGAGGGTTCCCGTTTCTCCACATCCTCTCCAGCATCTATAGTCTCCTGATTCATTCGTTTTAGCCACTCTGACTGGCGTGAGGTGATATCTGAGTGTGGTTTTGATTTGTATTTCCCTGATGAGGAGCGACGTTGAGCATCTTTTCATGTGCCTGTTGGCCATCTGGATGTCTTCTTTAGAGAAGTGTGTATTCATGTTTTCAACAACTTACAACTTATAAAGGCTCAGACAGTTAATAGCCTGGTAAGGTTAGAGGTAAACTGTAGAAATTAATACACTGCTATAACTTTATAGGCTTGTAGAGAAGTTAACTGCAAAGGTGATATTTATTCCTCTATAGAAATTAACCAGCTGTACACCTAATTTAGCAATCTTACTTGCACATTCCTTTTTACCAACTATATAATTTTCTGTTTCTTAATGCTCCAGAGTCCCTTTGAATTTCCTGCTGATGATTCCACGGGGTGACCTAGAGGCTCCTGGTCTCCTCTGCAGTCCTCCCCTCCAGGAGGCTGCTGTGTGTGCACAGAGCAGTCAGATCCACAGTGTGCAGGCAAGGAGCCAACATAAAAAGAAATTCCTTAAGAAAACTATGAGAAAGACCAGGGAATATGATTAAACTCTTGGAACCCCAGTCTGCTCTTTGAATTCAACAGACCCCCTTGGTTTTGGTTAACACTGTTTCTGTCGCCATCACCAGTAGCTGAGAAAATTCCCCCAAGTTGGGCAGTTTTGCTATATATCGCTCTGCCTTTCCTAACACCTCGCTTTTCTGTTTCTTCTCCTTCCAACTAATCCCTACACATTTCCTCTGCCTCTATTTCTTGACCAGGGCAACACCGGAAGATGGATCCCAGAATGAGTGTGTGGATCAGAGCCCTTCCCCCTCCCTCCTTGCCCCCAGCCCTACTCAGCATCCCTCGCCAACCCAGGACCTGTTTCCATGAGTAACAAATAGACTTCTAGTGTTCGAGAAAATACACATTTGTTAAGAACAGACGGTGAGAAAAATAAACTTAGTTTTTGCTTATGAAAAACATAGCAAACAATTAAAATGAATCTTTTTGTTGGAAAAAAATGTGCATTTTGACATTAAGTTATCTTATTTGCTATTACACATGGCGTACATTTTCAAATTAATTTTGTTCGTAAAATCCATGGAAGAGAAACAGTAACTGCTTGATAAAAGTTATAAATCCTGGGGGGTCGCCTGGGTGGCGCAGTCGGTTAAGCGTCCGACTTCAGCCAGGTCACGATCTCGCGGTCCGTGAGTTCGAGCCTGCGTCAGGCTCTGGGCTGATGGCTCAGAGCCTGGAGCCTGTTTCCAATTCTGTGTCTCCCTCTCTCTCTGCCCCTCCCCCATTCATGCTCTGTCTCTCTCTGTCCCAAAAATAAATAAACGTTGAAAAAAAAAATTTTTTTTTAGAAGTTATAAATCCTGGGGGTGCCTGGGTGGCTCAGTCAGTTAAGCATCCGACTTCGGCTCAGGTCATGATCTCACACTCCGTGAGTTTGAGCCCTGCGTCGGGCTCTGGGCTGACAGCTCAGAGCCTGGAGCCTGCTTTGTGTTCTGTGTCTCCCTCTCTCTCTGACCCTCCCCTGCTCATGCTCTGTCTCTCTCTGTCTCAAAAATAAATAAATGTTAAAAAAAATTTTTTTTAAGTTATAAATCCTGTAACAACGAACACTTGCAGATGTGTCTGATTGGTTTTCCCCCTTTCTTCCTTCTAAAGGGAACACATCTGCTTGCTATATTGAAATCAGAGCATCCGGAACAACGGTTCTGACTCTGCCTTTAACTCTCCATCTGACTTTGGAAAAGGTTCTTAAACATTTATGTGCTAGAGTTGCCTCATCTATAAAACAAGGATAGTAATAGTTATTCCACCTACTCCTTACTGATGTTTGAGAATTACGAGGTATTATTTCCAAAATTATTTTTGGAGTATAAGCTAATGGCATGCTGGAGAACTCCTGTTAGAAGGACTTAGCTGGGCTTTTTAGATATTTCCAAGTTTCATATAACAATATGTGTATCAAAGCAATCAAAAATTATTTACCTTTGTCGTGATCTACAGATGATGGGGGTTAGTTAAGGCAGAAATCAGTACCTAAATTGAAGACATCAGTAGGAATAGTTGTGTGTGTGTGGTTTTTTTCTGACACCAACTGTGCAGTGTCTTTTCCAATGGGAATTAGGTCATTCCAACACCAGTCAATTCTCCAGCTCTTCACCACCAACTGGGTGTTGAACAATTCAATTCCATTTTGACACTGCCCAGAGTTTGCATAGACCACACAGCAGAAGGGCTCAGTCTTATGTGACTGCCCCCCTTTCAGACACCAGCTACAAATGGGGTCCAAGCTACCCATGTTTCCACCCACAAATTATAAATTTGGGGGTTTCCATGATGCCCCCTAGGTCTAATAATTTGCTAGAATGACTCAGAGAACTCAGGAAAGTGCTCTGCTTATGATTACAGTTTTATTATAAAGAATACAACTCAAGAACAACCAAATGGAAGAGATGCATAGGGCAGAGTATGGGGATGGGGCGGGGGGGGGGGGGGGGGTGGTGCAGAGCTTCCATGCCCTCTCCAGCATGCAACCAACCCTCCCAGCGCATCAGTGTATTTACCAAGTTGGAGGCTCCTGACCCCACTGTTCAAGGGTTTTTTTTAATCAAGGTTTCATTATGTAAGCATGATTGGTTAAATCATTGGCCATTGGTGATTGAACTTAATGGCCCACCTCTTTTCTCCCCAGAGGTCAAGGGGTGGAGCTGAAAGTTCTAACCTTCTAATTAGCATAAAGACATTCTTATCACTCAGGAAATTCCAAGGGTTTGGGGAGCTCTGTGCCAGGAACTGGGGACAAAGACCAAGTACCTATTTTTTGTTACACCACAGCAGGCATGATGGTGTGAAAGAAAAAACAGAGATACGCTGGTTTGTTTCTACTCTGACATTTATATATGAGCTCACATGCTCAATGAATAGGGCCTTGTCTCTCACATTTCCCAAAATGGCACATGAGGTAAATGCAGAGAATGTGTTTCCAGGGTGGACAGGACCACAGGCTGTAGAGTGCGCTCAAGTACAGAGCATCAGGAAGCAGGAGCTCCGAATTCAGATGCCTGATGGTCTGCAGCCCCAAGTCACCAGTCCTTGCCCTCCTCATCCGGCCCATGTTCCTGTCCCTGTGCTGAGCTCAGAGCTTAGGGAGCTCTTCCTCCTCGCTGGATTCACTGCTGATCACTGCACATAGAAACAAAACCCCTTATGGTTTTAATATGGGGCCAAGGAACCAACAGGAAACCCCATAATAAGGGGACACCAGGAAAGATCCGGCTGCTTGGGTAACTTCCGGGCAGGAATGTCCCTGCTCCAGATGGTGCCATCTTCTCAAGGAATCCTGTGGCCCATAAGTTGATGGTGCTCCAGTCATTCTCACCGGACACTGTGTAAGGATAAGTGGCCGAAGTGGCCAGTTTTGCTCATCTTGCTCCCCATTTTCTGGCCACTCACTCTTTTTTCCCCTTCCAGCTGTCTCTCCCCATTTCCCTGCCTCTGCCTCTCTTTCTGGTGGTTCCTTATCCTCTTCTCAGCCTCGGGGTGTTTTCTCTTCAGGGCTTTCCATTTCTGCCTCTTATGACCTGATGTGCCTTTTGTCCCCTCACCTCTTCTTGCCATCTTGCTCTACACATCCCTGTAGAAACCCCCCCCCCCCATTTCAGTACATCCCCACTCCACGCCCAACTTTCATCTGTTGGGCAAGAGCCCCTTTGCTGTGCACTGGTCTCCCTCTCCTGCCTCCCCGGGCCACCTCCTGACACTGTGCTGCAACATACACAGCATCACCACATCAGACTCCCTCAGCCAGCCTTACTGATTACTTCAGGTGCTTGGCCATACGCTGTCCTTGCTGGCTGGCCCTCTTGGTTAATTTTGGGGTGACAAGATGAAATTGTCTTCTGTATATCCACCAGACCCACAACACAAGACTGTACTAGATTTTTGTATCTGGATAGCTCTGCCCCTGGGATATATAATGATCCATAAAGACCCCTCAGCTGTCTCCCTCATCGACCCCCTGTCCCCCTCTCTCCTCAGTCCACCTGAGAGGTGTGTCCATACCTCTGTGTCCTTCTCTCTCCATCTCTCAAGGGCTTTCCTTTTTACCCTGAATTCTACCTTTTTGTTTTTCCTCTTTTCTCTTAACCTGCTCTTCTCATTCGCTCACTGAAAATGATCTTGGCTGAATTTTGTGTTTATTGTCGTGTTCTTTTCTGCAAAGGTAGTTTAATACATGTCTACATAAATAATACTTCTTAGAACCACTTCTGTAGAATTTTCCATACATCAGTAATGTAGTGTTTGCCAAAACATGTGTCCAGCATTTAGGGTTCTGAAAACTCACTGTTACAGGGATGGCCCCCCTGTGGCAGAAGCTTCTCCCCCTGATGTCCCATTGTGTCTCCTCTCTCCCTGCCTCACTGACCTCCAGCAATGTTTCATTCACTCCCATTGAACGCTGGGTCTTCAGGGTTTCTCTGCGTCCCTCTCCTACTTTCCCTTTCCTTGGCATTTACTTTGTCCCCTATGTTTCTCTCTCCATATAATCTTTGTCCCTGTGTCTGGTGTGAATTGTCAGTTTATCTCCTCTCTGCTGTGTGCCTCACATCCCTCCTCCACCTCTGTTTACTCTTAGGCTCACCATCCACACTCCCAATCCTTGTCCTGTGTTGTCCTCATCTCAAAGGTTGGGTCCCTCCATCACTCCAGGTCTCTCACTGGGCTTTGACCAGACCTCAGAGCCCCTTTCCCACCTCTCCCTCTAGGGTCTTCTACAGTGATCTCACTGACTGGTTCATCTGACCATCACATACATTATTTCCAGTTCCTGTGACAGCTTCTGACAAGTAGGATAAAGTTCTTTCCCTGCCACACCTCTGCCAACTGGGAGAAGTTTGGATCTCATGTCCGTTTTGGTAAAACCGCACTTGCTCCTATAACTCCTGTTGGACGGCCCTATCAATCTATCTTTCAACACTCTCCTCCACACATCGCACCTTTCTCCACTGAGAACTTTAGTTCCCCTTTCCCTCTTGCCTCTTGTAGGAGAAGCAAACACGAGGCCTAAGGCAACAAGTTTAAAGAGGCACCTACTCGGGGCGCCTGGGTGGCGCAGTCGGTTAAGCGTCCGACTTCAGCCAGGTCGCGATCTCGCGGTCCGTGAGTTCGAGCCCCGCGTCGGGCTCTGGGCTGATGGCTCAGAGCCTGGAGCCTGTTTCCGATTCTGTGTCTCCCTCTCTCTCTGCCCCTCCCCCGTTCATGCTCTGTCTCTCTCTGTCCCAAAAATAAATAAACGTTCAAAAAAAAAAAATTAAAAAAAAAAAAAAAAAAAAAAAGAGGCACCTACTCTAAGGTTCTCTTTAAATTTCATCCTCCCTAACCCCAGGGTGCCTGGGTGGTTCAGTGGGTTAGGCATCTGACTCTTGATTTCTGCTCAGGTCTTTTTTTTTTTTTTTTTTTTTTTGAGTCTATGTATTTATTTTTAGAAAGAGAGAGAGAGAGAGCACACACATGAAAGCAGGGAAGGGGCAAAGAGAGAGGGAGAGGTTGAGAATCCCAAGCAAGCTCTGCACTGAGCACAGAGCCTCACGTGGGACTTGAACTCATGAACTGTGAGATCATGACCTGAACTGAAACCAAGAGTTGACGTTTAACCAACTCAGTCACCCAGGTGCCCCTCGACTCAGGTCTTGATCTCATGGTTGGTCATGAGATCTAGCCCCACATCAGGCTCTGTGCTGAGTGTGGAGCCTACTTGGGATTCTCTCTCTCTCTCTCTCTCTCTCTCTCTGCCCTTCCCCCACCTCTCAAAATAAAAAAAATAAACATTAAAAAAAATTTCATCCCCTAGGCCCTCCATGGGTCTCACATGCATGCATGCCTCCCTCACACCTTAGAAAGTGGCCAGAGGCTGGGCTCAAGTGTATGGCCACTCCCCACTCCACATAATGAGCCGTCCAGGTAACTGGTTATTTAAAATATGGGATTCCATCATAGTTACCTTGTCCACCATCCAGCAAGCCACACACCTTCTCTGACCTCCTCTCCTTCTTCATTCCTAAAACTTTAGATTCACCAGGCACTGAAGAGAGAGAAAAGGAAAGGAGAACCCAGAGCCAGTGGCCACGGAACAAACTGTGGCCACACTGAGCTCTGAGGTTGGAAAAAAGAGGTGAGCTGCTCCTTGTGAAGAAATACTCTTCCTGCTCCAAGACTCCACTCAAAATCCAACCAAGCCCTGCTCTGGTTCTTTCCATCACATCAGACCTTATTACCTTTCTCTCTCCCTCAATTTTCCACCAGAATCCAACATCCAGGCACTGCTGGGTCTATTCTAGGAAAATATTTCTGCATCCTGGATTCCACTGTCTTCTGTCTCCTTGTGTTTTTGTCTCACTTTTCCCTCCTGCAACACTCTCTGCTCAGTCCCTGCTCGCTCCATTTTCCTTCCCAGCTCTCTTCCTCTGCATCTTCCCATCTTCCACGTCTGGCTCTGTTCCTTTTCTTTCTGTCTTTCTGATTTCCCCCACTCAACACACAGACATGAAAAGATACACCTTTTAGTTATATCAATGGCTCTTGACAGTGGGAAGACAGGAATGAGGAGTAAAACTGGGTTGCCTTTGGAGGTGACTGAAGTGTTTTGGAACTAGATGGAGGTGACAGTTGCACAACATTATCAATTCACCAAATGTCACTAAATTGTATACTTTAAAATAATTTTACATTATGTGAATTTTACCCCCATTAAAACACACAAACGGGTGCCTAGATGGTTGAGTTGGTTAAGCATCTGACTTCAGTTCAGGTCATGGTCTCGTGGTTGTGAGTTCGAGCCCCGCGTTGGGCTCTGTGCTGACAGCTCGGACCTGGAGGCTGCTTCGGATTCTGTGTCTCCCTCTCTCTCTGCCCCTCCCCCGCTCACACTCTGTCTCTCTCTCTCTCAAAAATAAATAAAACCATTAAAAAAATTAAAACACACACACACACACACACACACACACACACACACTGGGTTCAGAATGCCCGGGTTCACCCTTGCTCATCTGACCCCAGGCCAACTATGCACATGGTCTCTAGATTTCAGTTTCTTTATCTGCAAAATGGGCACACAAGCAATGCGAACTCCCGGTGGTAGCCTGAACGTTAAACCCACAACTGCCAGAGTAAACGGTCAACCAATGAGATATTAATAATATGATTCATTCTAGTGTATCTTTTAACCCTTTCTTCTCTGCCTTTCATTTCCCCTCCTTCTCTCTCTCTCAAAATACCCACATGCTTCCCTCCACCTTTCTACCACTTCCTCTTATCTCTCTCTATGTGACTGGACTTCTCCTTGAATATCCAGGCTCTTGAACGACATCTCCCATATTGAGATCAGTCCCTTCTACCATCATCAAGGGTCTTCTCTTTGACGTTGACCATGAGCCCAGAGTTCTTAGCCCTTCACAACTTCACACTGAAGGTCACCTCCGGAAACTCATAATTCACAGTTAGGTTCTTATCCACTCTCCAGGTTACTGGGCAGAAAGCCTCTCTTTGCCACCTTTTGTGGTCTTGGATTCCAAACAGAGTCATGCCATTTTGGAATCGATTCAAAGCCACATTCATCTACCTTCCCCATCCCCTCTGGATTCCTTCTCCAGTATCATAGTCACCCTTCTTGAGCCAGAAAACTGTTTTCTGTCATAATTTCCTTGTTCGCAACTTGGCTGTGTGCTGGGCATTTTTTGTGTCTCCTCTCTCTCACTTTCCTGGGGGAAATATTGGTCTTCCATTACTAAACAGAGGAAAAACTAATTAGTGATTGCACCCAAGTGATCAGGGATACCACCTCATAGTTATGTATTTGGACCCCTCCCCAAGAATCCATGTACTTCAGTGGGGACTTCTGGACCCTGGATCAGTTAATCTCAGTGGCTCCTGACTTGGTGTTGCTTGCTCCTTTCCCTGGGACATCGAAGAGAACACACACACGCGCACACACACACACACACATCTTATAAGTGATGAGACTGTCAGGTTTAAGGGTTATGGAACAGTGGGAAAGTTATAAATAGTAATTAGTCACCCAACAAGATGACCAGAGAGAAGGGAAAGCTTATCTCAATATAAATTCTGTAAGTGGAATGTCTCTGTGAACTGTTCAAAGGAACAGAGGATTTCTTCAGAAGAGCTAGGCTCCTAGAGAGATCCCTGGGTATGAAAGAGAAAGCCTAGCTACTTTAAAGATGCTGCTAGACAAGAGGAGGGTTAGAACAGGGAGGGTGAGGGCTTCCCAAAGACACAAAGCTGAGGACACCAGCAGGAACCCAGACAGACCTCTCCGGGGCCCAGGTCCCAGGAACAAAGGACACTCTGCAGCTCTGATCACAGAGCAGATTGCAGCGCTGGAGGACGACCCCAGACACCCACCCCAGGGCCTCGGGTGGCTGGGACACCAGCCCAGCACCCCTGCCAGCTGGTGACCCAGCACACATGGGAGGAAGGAAATCAACCAGGAAGCCTGGGTTGGGGAGGCGTGTCTGTGGGGAGTCCAGGGAGGAAGAGGTGCCAGGGAGGAGGGGGAGGTGCCAGGGAGGAGGGGGAGGGGCCAGGGAGGAAGAGACCCACTGCCCAGGGCCAATGGCAGAAGCTCCTCCTAGGGCAGCGCCCCTTGGGGGAGGTTGAGTTCCACTAAACGGTGGGAGCCACGGGTGCTTGTCATCCCAGGACGTGGCCTTAGATCCTGGGTAAACCAGGTGGAAGATAGGAGAGAACAAAGGGAAAGGTGAAGGGGGCTTGTGCGTGGGGGGCCCCATGGGGGCTCAGGGACCTCTGAGCACCAGATGAAGGTGGGGATTGGGGAGCAGGAAAGGGTGCAGCACTGGGGCCACAGCCCCCAGAATCTTGGCTTTGGGTTGCTGACCCACAGCTCCCGGGGACAACAGGGTCCGGGAGGTGACAGCTGCCACGTCCGCAGGGACAGGTGGGCGGCAGCGAGTGTAGGTGCAGGTTACCCCAGCTCGGGGAGCCCTGGAACCTAACACGTGTGATGTGGACAGCGAATCTGGAAAGGGGGGTCCCTGCAGTCCACGGAGAGGATTAGAGCCCCTGAGATGTAGGCAGTTGACAGGTAACTGCCATTCCCTTAATTCCCATGGCCCAGGGCATCCTGATTGCAAATAAATTGACTTAAGATATGTAAATTTATCTCAAAAAAACTTTTAAAAATTATTGACTTGAAATTTGTGCCCAGGTGTTTGATTCTTTCTATTCCTTTCTCTAACTCAGATATTAGTATAGAAATTATATTGTTCTTATTTTAATCAATCCACTATTTTCACAAATTAATACACTCCATACATTATTTTAGCTTCTTTTTCTTTCTTCCCCTTGCTTAAGAACTGCTGGTACTTCCTTGTTATGAAAATAAAATTCCGATTCCTCTGTTTAGGGTGTCGGGAACTGCACCGTCTGCCTCTGACTGTCAGGTACAGAATCCACCTTTTATGCACTTGAAGTCTAAATATTGTTAAAATATACACTCTCCCCAATTAACCTATAAATCCAACTTAATTTCAATAAAATGCAAGTAGAGGCTGACAACAGGCCTCCTGGCTCTATTGCTCTGCCCACTGCCACCATCAACACCACCATCACCAATGCAAGAAAAGAAATGTCTCAAGCAGAACCTCTTTCTGGGTGCCTCTTTTTTGGGGGGCGCTTTTCTGTATGAGCATATCCTAGAATCTGGAGAAGTCTTAGAATGAGCAATCTCAAGGATTACATCCATTGAAAGTCCTCCTCTCACAGTGACATCCAGCAATGTGGCCCTGTGACTGGCCTTCAAACGGATTAGACAGAATTAAGATTGATGCCATCCCCCATTGCTGAGCTCCCCATAATGGCATGCTCCCCACCTTGGCCTTCACCTGAAGCCAGAGAGGCTTGAGGAGTACCTTTAGAAGTTTTATCAATGGCCTCCAAACCCAGGGAGAACATAAGGTTCTGGAACTCCCTGATCCTCAGGAACAGGGTGTCCCCCAATCATGGTGGGAGTTGGTGCTACCTGTGGAGCTAGAGCTGGTGCTGCCTCTCAGCTGGGGGCTCCACCTCCTGCAGTGACTACACAGCAGGTCAGTGCATTGGGACGGGGTTGGGGGACAGGGCTAGCTCCTTGTCCTTGACCACCACCCTGAAGGGGGCCTTTGGTTTGTTGCATTTGTTAACTGTTTTCTGATCCCCTTCTTATATTTGAACTCTGCGTGTCACTACTGAAGGACACTACTGAGGTGTCATACTTGTTTTTTTGTAAAAACATGAATTCATTACACCTCTGGTGTTGTTCCTGGTTAGCTGCCCCAATAAAACCTGGCTGGACCTGCTCTACTCCTGACCCCAGCCTGCTCTGTGGTGGCCTGTCCCAGAGAAAGAGCCTTCCTCTCATGGATTGGTTATATGGAGGGCGTTGGGTGGAATGCTGGTCATACCTCCCTGTCTGTGATGTTTGTGTCAAAGAGAAAATCTGCTGGAATAGATTACTGAGGAGTACAGAGAGCTCAATAAAATGTTGGTTTCAAGTAAAACTTTTGTGGAAATTGACCAACTGATTTTAAAATATAAATGGAAATGCAAAAAGCCAAGCTTATTCAAGACAATCTTGAAAAAGAATAACAATGTTTAACTTGCTATTAAGACAACGTAATATGGATCGCTTCTTGGCCTTTTGGCTAAGATCAAGTGTAAGACAATGTAATATGGTGTAATATGGGCACAAAGATTTATTTTCATGTATACTCTGCCATCATTTCAGCAAAGCATTTAAAGTGTCTTCAAAATACTTAAAATATGTAAGTAAAAGTTAAATATAAATTGGAACAAAAATAAAATGAAAGGGGGAACATGAAATAAAACCAGAATATGAGAGATTTGGTGGGACTGTGGCTCCAATTTGGTGGTCCATAGACCCCGCATCGAGAAACACACACCTCTTTGGTCTTCGGGCTATTCAAGCTGGGGATGGGTGGACATTCAATATAAACTATCTCAACTTCTGTTGCTCTTTAAATTCTTTGGAACGCCAACCAGGTTCAAAGA